CGGGAGCCCCGCGAGCCCGGGCGCGGCGCCGCCGCTGCAGGTGCCCGTGGGGCTGGTGTTCCCGCGTGTTCCCGCGTGTTCCCGCGTGTTCCCGCGTGACGGTGGAGGTCAGGGGGGACGGGAGCTCGCGAGCCGGTCACGTCCTGCCCGGAGCCGCAGCCCTGCGTGCAGGAGACCTGGTGCGCGGTCACATCTCCCTGCCCAGCCTGCTGCAGAAAGGAGCATCTGCGCTGCCGGAAAACACGGGGAACGCTCGCGCTGCTTGCACGGGGCTCTAGAAAATTAACGTGCGTAAGAACGTGCATAGTGTCTGGATGAGATTCACTTTAGCTGGGATATAGATATCTAAAACGAGATTTTAAAGATACAGAAATCCTTYCTGTTTGGGGCTCTTTCATCTTTACCTGGAAGATGTCTGTAAATATTCACCATGTAACTTCGGTCTTGTGAATAATTTTATTGAAGCTGATGGATCTGCTTGCCCATGTGGGGTGCTGGGAGGAATTCAGCACCGTTGTTTTTTCCTGCTGCATATTAGGTTATACGTAGAAGCACGCACAGAAGTTTATGGCTGCTCCCTTCTTTGGCTTACGTTTATAATGTCTACTGCTGGATTGATAAATCATTCTGTTGGGAGGTGAAGTAATCCGAAATTGATGGGAACCGTCCTTGCCTCAGTAGACAGGTATTTTTCTCTCCCTCTCCCTCTCTCTCTTCCTCCCTCTCTCTCTTCCTCCCTCTCTCTCTNCTCCCTCTCTCTCTTCCTCCCTCTCTCTCTTCCTCCCTCTCTCTCTCTCTATCTTTCTTATTTTGGAAGATACGAGCAGAACTGGCCGTATAAATATTTGGCTAAGTTGTGGTCATGACCTCTTCCATGGTAACTTGCAAATGCCCTGCTAGTAGGGAATTACTTTCTGCATTCCAAACAAAGATGAATTTACCTGGAGAGTGATTTGGATTAGAGAACAACATCCTTCAGAAACGACAGTAGCAGAAGTGTCGAGATCCTCTAGGTGAGTAACTGTGGTCGCAGTGACTCTCAGTAATCACCAGCCTGGGTGAGCGTTTCAAAGATGGAAAGCAGTACCGAGCCCTGGGGCAGGGTCAGGCCCAAGAGCTGCAGCCGGAGGCCCTGCTGCTGCAGCCATCCCGCGAGGGAGGGTAGAGGGTGAAGGGAACCCGGTTTCCCTCTGCACTGCAGCAGGTGTTGAAGGGAAGCTGGGATATAACTAATGATAAGCAGTGGTAAAACCTCCTACGTTTTGTCTGAGTTTTGCCCTTTTTGTCAGGGGGTTGCTTAGCAGATGCCAAACACAGCAGTTGTGGAGGGCTGA